GGCGCGGGGTTTGGCAGAAGTCGGGGTAACGCTGCAGCGGCCGGGGAGCGACTCAGCGTCCGCTGCCGTAGGGTAGGCGGTATCGCGGGGCTCCCGGCGCCGCTTGTGCCCGATTCAGTAGCGGGAAGTCCGCAGTCTGCACCGCAAAAGAAACACTTTTACTTTTAACAATGGCGGGCAGTTCTTGTAGCGGCTTTGGTAGGCGCTGGGAGTCCGCCTCCCCGCCATGCCACACGCGGCCGTCCGCTTCCTGGGCCCAGCTCCCGCCGCCGTAGCCTCGGTCTTTGCACATCGGCACCTCCTCACGCCCTTTCTCCAAGTTAAAGAAATTAAAGATCTCCCGAGTCGGGAAGAGCTGCCTGCTTTGCTCTGTAAGACGTGACTGGCACCACCATGCTCTTCCCGACGCGGTAGTTAGGCAACAACGGGAGTCGGGCTGGTCGGCGCTTCGGCGTGACGTCATCAACAGCGGACGGAAATTCCTCGAAGCTGCTTCCGGGGGAAGTGCCGGCCTCGCCAAAATGGCGGCGCCCAGGTGTCCCTGAGCGGAGGGAGTTGACAGCCGCCCACGGCCACGGTGGTCACCGGCTCCCCATGGCGCTGGGTAGCCGCAGCTGGTTGGTGCTGGCGGCCGCCAGGCTCCAGGCACGTGGAGCGGGTAAGCTCAGCCCCTCTGCGGCTCGCCATGCGGGTCCTTCTCGGGGGAAAGGGCTCCGTGTCCCCCGTGCTGCCGGCGGAGGGCAGCTCCCAGGGCGATGCGGCCGCCAGGGGGGTTGGTGGCGCTGCTCCGCCTTGCGCAGGCCCCGGTCTGTGCCGGGCTCCCGCTTGTAATGGCCGTTCGGGCTGCTGTGGGGCGGGGGCGCTGATGGTGCGTCTCCGGCCGGGGCGGGCGGTCTGACAAGAAGCCGTGCCCGTCACAGTGGCGAGAGGTTCCCGCTGCCTCTCGGACCAAAGGGTTCTGTAGCAGTGTGAGTTCTCAAGCCTAACTCCAAAGTCGTATTTGTTAGGTTAATTAGTGACGATTAGCCTGACAGTATCGAGGATTTTTACCTTGTTATTTGCTAGCGCTGTCACTAGTTCTTTGTGTACTTCACCTTCAGTATTTTGTAAAGCCTTAATCCTAGGGATCTTCTAGTCATGAATTTCTATTTTATGCGTGGGGTTTGAACCACTGTTAAAATTTAATATACTTTTTAGCCTACAGTTCACCTCTTAAATTGGAGAAACAGGTTGAGCTCAGATAATCCATCTATTTAGTGTTTTTAAAAAAAGCCAGTTTTGCCCTGCTAAGTATACAAGCTGCACCATTCTATATTGTATTCGTTCTATTGTCTGCACTATATCTTTTTTTAAGTCTGTGGGATTTTACTTTCAGCTTCTCCCCAAAGTCTTCGTTTGGCATCAACTACGGCCAGTATCAAAACTGAGACTGAAGTGGACACAAGTGAAAATGAGGTTGTTTCCCCAGACTTCACAAACAGGAATCCTCGGAATTTGGAGCAGTTGGCCCTGGCTAGGAAGGAGCGTGGCTGGAAGACAACATGGCCAAAGCGTGAATTCTGGCATAGGTGAGTCAGAATTAATTTCTGCTGATGGCTGACTCCAAAAGAAAACAAAACAAAACAAAAAACCCCCCAACAACCAACCAAATGAAATTAAAGCCCGGAAACCCACCAGGTGGAAATTCTACAAAATGCACTTTTTTGGGTTGCTGAATCAGTTGTTCCTTTAGTTGTTTTTAATCAGTAGGTATCTTCTGTGGTTAGAGAACAGTAGGCTAGCATCATGTGAAAATTAGCACATGCATTGAAAATCTTTCCATCTGTTGTTAAGGTAGCAGTAATACTGCTTAAGCAACTGCTGTTTAATTTAGGATTTTTTCTAGTCTTGTGCTGACCATGCATCACTGTTTTATTTGAGGCACCATAATAGTCTATTTGGATTTTTTTGTGTTTTGTTTTTTTGTTCTTAAATGCTGATTGCTTGTCCTCTGGAAAATACGTTCATTTTAAGCTGGGGATTCAAAGTCATAATTTTGTATTTGAGGGAAGAACCACATCCAGTTTGTTCATACCTGGAAATGTGATATTGTCTCAGTGCAGTAAGAAATAGTTGCTCCTAATGCTTGGCGGTTACGTGTTATGGCTTAGGAAGCCGAAGTGCTTGACCACTTGCTGATCCTGACAAGGAGTTAGCTGCTGTGTAAGCATAAGCTTTTAAGAGACTGCTCAGCAAACTAAAGTTAATTTCTGCTGGAGCAGTTACCCTGGTCTAGCCCATAAGCACTCATACCATGCTGTGCAGGTGCCCAGTGCTTGGCTTGGAGTGAGTGCTGGCACGAGGCAGCGTACGACCCTGCACCTGCGTAACTGTGAAAAGTTGCTCTTGGAATTTCACTCTGCTAAACTGGTAATATGAGTCCTATTTTGTGTCCTAATAAGCAAAACCCTAGATAGTAAAAGTGATACTAATAATTCATTATTATATTAATAGTTCTAGTACCTTCACTTTTATTTCCTGAAGTGTGTCACGTGTTTAAGCATTTGGATGTGTTCTCTCTTTACATCTAGAAAAGGCATTGTAGTCCCATGTTGTTTCTTCCTTTTGCTCAGATTACGGCTTGAGCGGACACAGCATTATGTAGAAGCCTTTGTTGAGCGCTCTAACGGGGATGTTGTGGTATCTGCCTCTACCCAAGAGTGGGCCATAAAGAAACACCTCTACAGTCCCAAGGGGGTAACAGCATGCAAAAACCTCGGCCGGGTAATGGCACAGCGCTGTTTGGAAGCAGGAATCAACTTTGTGAACTTTAAAGCTATTATCCCCTGGGAATATCGTTGTGACTCGGTAAGTACCCATCTCCTTACATTTGTTTGGCTCTTCTTTCCTTTTTAAGAATTAGTTTTATGCCTCTTCACCATCAATTTTCTTATGTGGGTTGACGGTCACTTCTTGCAACACTCAAAAGGGTAGCTTTGACAAGCTGCAGTTCCTGACACTGTGCTTCAGTGAGGCTGTTAACCTCTGCCTCTCCATGTAACATGTCCCTACTGATATTTTGGTGCTGATGTTTAGTGTTTTTTCTTTGTATTTATTTGTGTCTTTGTCTTTTAAACAAGATTCAGGAATTCAAAAAAGCTGTGGAGGAGGGTGGTGTCGTTCTGTGTGAGCCACGAAGAATCTATCAGTAAAATGGAAACAGAAAAACTTTCCAAGGAACAACGATTACTGCTTTAGGTGTGTGTACCAGCACTGTGAAAGTCCAGAGCTGGAAAAAGTTGGAGCATGGCATTGTATAAATAAAATATTTTAAAATGAACAGAAGTGTGTCGTATTCTTGATTCTAAAATTATCAACACCTTTATGGCTAGAATAAACAACTCTCATTGTTCAGCCTTACAGGTTAACAGAATCTACATCAGAATTCAGTAATTTAAAAGTATAATTTCTTTTTAATATTTGATTTTGTGTTTGTTCTAACCTGAACTCGAAATGGTTAAATATTTGATCCCTGTATACTGCCAATCTAATTGAGCAAAATGCAGTGGTGTGAATGTTTAGAACTGTAATCAAGTTACGTGCTAAACGTGGTAAAAAGATTAAATTCCCTTAACTCACCTTTGTAGCTTTCTTGCAATCTGCAGATTCTAACTAATTAAACCTCACAGGCCTAGGAGGGAAGCTGCAGAGATGCCTGCTGTAGGGAGTAAAATGCCCTTTTCCACCCCCTCTGTCTGCCTGCTGCTGGGCCACAGAGTGACGCCCTCAGCTCGGCTGCCTGATAGGCGTCTGGGACTGGCAGACCCCCCAACGCGTCCGGGCCCCCGAACCCCACCGGTGCCTCGGAACCCGCTGGCAAGGAAGCTGGTCTGGGAGAGGCCGGCCTGCTCCCTTGTTGCTCTCTAAGCCGGGGCTGTACCTGCTGCCAAGTTCTTGCAAACCCCGGGAGAGGTGAAAGGAAGGCCAGAGTCGTGTGCCAGGGTTCAGCAGCGTGCCGTGTGAGCCCAGCCCAGTTCTGCTTAGCGTTCAACTGATAGAATTCTTAAAAAACAGTGCCAGTCTTTTGCTGAATTTTTAACCTAGCAGTTGGTGCTGTTTCATTATAATACCTCGCAGATCGTGATAACATTTGTGCGATCTTTATTTCTAGAAGACAGAGATGTACAGCAGGAGCGGCCTCAGCGTTCCGTTCGCGTTTCGAGGCCAAACGTTACCCCGGCCCGACCCTTTCGCGGGGGGCGGTGGGTTTTTAAAGGCGGGTGGGAGCCGGCGGCACGCAGGCGCGGGGTTTGGCAGAAGTCGGGGTAACGCTGCAGCGGCCGGGGAGCGACTCAGCGTCCGCTGCCGTAGGGTAGGCGGTATCGCGGGGCTCCCGGCGCCGCTTGTGCCCGATTCAGTAGCGGGAAGTCCGCAGTCTGCACCGCAAAAGAAACACTTTTACTTTTAACAATGGCGGGCAGTTCTTGTAGCGGCTTTGGTAGGCGCTGGGAGTCCGCCTCCCCGCCATGCCACACGCGGCCGTCCGCTTCCTGGGCCCAGCTCCCGCCGCCGTAGCCTCGGTCTTTGCACATCGGCACCTCCTCACGCCCTTTCTCCAAGTTAAAGAAATTAAAGATCTCCCGAGTCGGGAAGAGCTGCCTGCTTTGCTCTGTAAGACGTGACTGGCACCACCATGCTCTTCCCGACGCGGTAGTTAGGCAACAACGGGAGTCGGGCTGGTCGGCGCTTCGGCGTGACGTCATCAACAGCGGACGGAAATTCCTCGAAGCTGCTTCCGGGGGAAGTGCCGGCCTCGCCAAAATGGCGGCGCCCAGGTGTCCCTGAGCGGAGGGAGTTGACAGCCGCCCACGGCCACGGTGGTCACCGGCTCCCCATGGCGCTGGGTAGCCGCAGCTGGTTGGTGCTGGCGGCCGCCAGGCTCCAGGCACGTGGAGCGGGTAAGCTCAGCCCCTCTGCGGCT